GTCTCGCCAAGTTGCCCAGGCGGGTCTCAAACCCGTGGGCTCAGGCGATCCACTCACCTCAGCCTCCCAAGGTGCGGGATTACAGGCTGCACCACTGAGCCTGGCTATAGGAAGGTGTTTTTAAGGCAACTCTTTGAGCTGACATCTGTAGAGGGGTCAACTGGGGAAGAGCGGGGACAGAGGACCAGAGGGAAAGATGAGCACAGGAGAAGAACCGCACACGACAGAATGACACCATCTCACCTGCTGGGTAATGGTGTCCCATGGGCCCTGCAGCAGTCGTGTCTTGTAGCACTCATGGATGCCTTCCCATATGTCCTGCAGAGTTAAAGGTGTCCCATCTGTGAAAGTGCAGGGTAAAGACCTAGTGAGTAATCCACGTGCCACAACCTAACACCACAGGAGAAATATCATGACTTCAGACGAACCTTCACTAGTGCACCATGCTATTTATACATAAGAGAGTGCTATACGCAATTTACAATAGCAAAGATGTGGAATCCACTAAATGCCCATCAATCGATCAGTGGATAATGAAAGTGTGGTATACATGCACAATGGAATACTATTCAGTTATCAAAAAGAATGAAATAATGTCTTTTGCAGCAACTTGGATGGAATTAGTGAACATGATCCTAAGTGAACTAACTCAGGAACAGAAAATCAAACACCACATGTTCTCCTTTTTAAATGGGAGCTAAACTAAGGGTCCACAAAGACATAGAGAATGGTATAATGGACACTGGAGAATCAGAAGGGGGAGGGGAGAAGCCAAGGAGAGACAGGAAATCACCTATCAGTATAATGTGCACAGCCACAGGTGATGAGTACACTTAAAGCCGACCAAAACTATTTGTACCTCCCAAAGCTATTGAAAAATTAAAAGTGGGGGGAGAGAGAGAGAGAGAGAGAGAGAGAGAGAGAGAGAGAGCGAGCTAAATTTTCCTGTGGAAAATTTAAACATTCAAGTTTGTCTCCTTTGCATCCTTCTAGCATTTAAATCATCTGTTCATTCATGGCCTCTAGGGATTTGACAAAATAAAATCCAAAGGTGTTTTAGAGAGAACTGATAGATACAGGCACAAGCAAAGGGTCAGCAAACAGACTCCCATGTTCACAAGACTGCGCCATGAATGCCACTGAGGTCCTAGTGTTTCCTCGCCCCTTGAGACAGAGAGACCACAATCATGCTTCCTCACACTCTCACTGATTATCCGTCATGTCCAAATCACTCTGTTGGGTACCACGGAAAAGAGTGAAAAGGAAAACGCACAACTCCTCCTGGTGAGGAACCTGTCATCCACTAGGGGTCTGACAAGCATGGCTGCAATTGAAATGCCAGGTACAGTGGTTTTTGCCCAGAGTAGACAGCAGGTACTGACAGTCCCCGGAGGAAGACATTAACACCCAGTGTCCATGGGGGGGTGAAAAAAGGGACCACTGGGGTGAGGGACAGAGGACAGGGTTGACATGAAGAGGTCAGTGAAAGCTGTCGTGAACAAAAATGCACCTTTTCTTTTTTTAAGTAGTTTCAATTATCCACCTGGATTCGGTAACCTATCAAAATAAAGTAGTTCATGAAGACCACAATGGTGCTTAATACATACACAAGATAAGTAGAAAGACAGTTATCTAAGTTCTAGAAAGAAAGCAAAAAGAGGGAGTTACCTAAAGGTTTCAAACCACACACTGCTGGGACGAAGGTGTCTTCTTGCTAGAATTTAATGCTACTTGGCCCATTCTGAGCTACCAAGCCCTCAAGACTTATGGTGTGCTCTTTTCTTGGGCAAATGGATGACATGACCAGAAGACGTCACACATGTCAGTAACAGAAGTGTTCCATCAAAGAAGCATCTCGTCACAACATGCAACAAAACTTGGGAAAATACTCTACTCAAGGACTTCAGAAAGCACTGTATTCAGACTTGGAAAGTGTATGGAATACAGGTGTTGGGAAATGGCACTAGATTTGGAGTCGAGATGGTTTATATCCTGGTGTTGGCACTCTGTGTAACTGCAAGCTCTTTTGCTTTTGACTTTACCTGTATCATGAGGATAATCATCCTTTTCAGATTTGGTTCTCATAAGGCTAGCAGTCATAAACACATCCAGGACTGTGTAGCACACAGTAGGGGCTCCATAAACACCAGAACCCCCTCTGGCCTCACACCACAATCCTGGCCACTCTCAAAGCTGAAAGCTACATTTGGAGACTAGTGTTTCGTGCCACCTCCTGGGCTGCTGGGTCAGGCACACTGTCTTTGATCTAGTTACATGCCAATGCTGTAAGCAGACATTTTTCATGTTTGACCTGAAAAGGTGAACTTTTACTCAACTTTCATTTCAATAAACAGCAATAGAATATTTTGATACATTTTCAATACATATCTTCATCTTGGCATTTATCTGGCGGCAGGAGACCATTATCTTGTGATAAATAGTTTTATTCCATTGACATTTCCATGTCTGTAAAATGAACAAGATTTATTCATCCAATTAACATTTGAATGTCATGTTTAGCTACAAGTTAAAAACAAGCTGCCTTCGCTGTCTGTGTTATATTGTTTTCTGAACACATTTACAGAGTAGGGCCAAACTCTGCTCTTAAAAGCAGCCTACACATCTTCAAAATACGTTCATCCTGTGTCTGTGTGTGTGTGTGTGTGTGTGCACGCGCGCTGATGTTGGGGGAGGCAAATAAGGTCTTAAGTACTTCAGTGTCAAATAGTAAATGAAATAACTAAATTATTAAAAGATGACATGCTTTTGAAATAATTTTTACATGTCAAAGTTAGAAGAAATCAAACACCTGTAGAATAGGAACGTGTTAGAAGTGATATACTCACTCATTTTATCAATGAGACTCTGAGGTCTTGGGAAATACGTGTCCTCCAAAGTCCTGCAGCCAGTTCCTAACTGCACTGAGGTTCGACTCCAGGTGTCAGGACCTACCAGGCTCCTCTCATGAGTCCCCTGCCACTTGGGGCAGGGGCCTTGCCAATGCCTTATAAATGTTTGCTGAATAAGTGATAAACAAAGAATGTCTTCCTTAACTTCCTCTTCCCTAAGACAGAGTAGAGAGCACTGCAGGCCAAGAGAAGAATGCTGGGTTCAAAATCTGGTAATTGGTAAGGGTTTTAATTTGTGTGTGTGTGTGTGTGTGTGTGTGTGTGGGGGTGTGTGTGAGAGAGAGAGAGAGAGAGAGAGAGAGAGAGAGAGAAAGCAGGATTTACTGAGAGAACAGAGAAGCTCCCACAGTGGGAGGGGACCCAAAGGGGTTGTCCCAGGGTTTTAATTTTATTCCTTAAAATATTTCAGTCAACAATCTAAGTGTGGAGAAACTGGGTTGAATATTACCACTGTCAAAAAACTACACACTCTGCTGGAAGCACTCATACAAAACACAGCAATAAACAGCCTAGCAATGTGAGGAGCGACCAGGACAAACATCATGAAGTCCCCTCAGGTTCATACAGAAGTCAGGGTGACGGCAAGTTCTCAGACAACACCACGTCTAGGGAAACATGGACACTTAGAGCACAGGAACTAGAAAGGACCTGGCTGATCGAGAATAACAGAAAACCGCAAGGGGTTAAAACAAGTTCAAAACACAACAACTGAATGCACTTTTACTTATGCCACAAAGAGACACTTCTTTAAAAAGCTGAAGAGTGTCTGTGGGCTTCCCTTTTCTAGTTTATTTTTGAGACAATACCACATTAGTAGCATTTGGGCTCTTTCTACATCATTTAATAAAAACAGAGTCACTTGTAGAAATGCATTACCATATGTTTCTTGATTTTAATGTGATTCTAAAAATTATAGTAAGAAACATTTTTTTTTTTTTGAGTTGGAGTCTCACTCTGTCGCCCAGGCTGGAGTGCAATGGCACACTTATGGCCACCACAGCCTTGACTTGCTGAGCTCAGGCGATCCTTCCAAGTAGCTGGAACTACAGACACATGCCATCATACCTGGCTAGGAATATTTTTTTAATGATGAAAGAATACCTCACAAATGCCCTGCACTGCGACATCATCATGTTCTTTCTCTCTTCCCCACATGCTGCAAAGACCCTTCCCTCTCTCTTGACCTCGTCTCATAATGAGCCACGACCCTTAGTGTCTCCTGGATGTCCCTGGATGTGGGCCCCCAACCCCACAGCACCTGAGGGCCTGGCTCAAGTGTCCAACAGCCTGGTCATTGCGCAGCCCAGTCCCAGCTCTGACCTATCTCTCCTCTGCCCAACACCAGTGCCTTCACAATTGGAAACCCACACCTTTGGCAATGCAGCCCCTGACAGGCAGCCCTCGCCACTGCTCCCTGTGACCCAGCCTAGGCCCAGTTGCACTCCATCCACACATGCTCACACTCACATTCATGCTCACACATGTGCTCACACATACATTTACATGTGTTCACACAAGCTCTCACACATGTTCATGCACACTCACTAACATGCTCACACATACATTCACTCATAGATAATGCTCACATATGCCCACATGTTCACAAATGTGCTTGCCCACACACATGCCCACATATGTTCACACATGCACCCACACACGCTCACACAGATTCACACATGTGCTCACATGCACTCACACATGCAGGCTCATATACGATCACATGAGGCTCACACACATTCACACATGCTCACACACACCAGCCAGCCCTTTGCCCTGTGGTCTCTTCTCACAGCAATTACTACTCTGAAATCCTCTTTCTTATTTCTGCGTTCATCATTTCCTACCTCTCCCAAGTGAAAGGCAAGTTAGTAGGGCAGCACTCGGTTGTTCCTACTCCTGCGTGCATCCATCCCAGGACCTGAGCCAGAGCCTGTCCCCAGCACATGGGCAACAGAGATCTGCTGAATTCACGTACAGATGGAAGCTGGTGCACCTGTTGGCCCAGCTACTCAGGGCCAAGGTGGGGGGATGCCAGAGCTTAAGAGGTCAAGGCCAATCTGGGCATCACTGTGAGACCTCACCTCTTTTTTTTTTTTTTGAGTTGGAGTCTCACTCCATCGCCCAGGCTGGAGTGCAGTGGCACGCTCACGGCCACCCCAGCATCGACCTGCTGGCCCCCAATGATCCTTCCACCTCAGTCTTCCAAGTAGCCGGAACTATAGGCATGCACTATCACACCCGGCTAATTTTTTTATTTATTGTAGAGACTGCCAAGTTGCCGGGGTTGGTCTTGAACACGCAGGCTCAGGCAACCCTCTCACCTCGGCCTCCCAAAGTGCTGGGATTACAGGCTGAGCCACCAAGCCCAGCCTAGACCTCAACAAAAAGACTGTAGAAAAAGCCATCACTATGTTTCACCTGCTCTGTGATAT